CCTATAGAGGTCCCTCTAAACGGCAACACAACTACCTAACGTAACAGTCACTCCAAGTTTTGTACCATCTGCAGACTTGCTGAGGGTGCACCCTCTTCCATCTTCCAGGTCGTTAATGAAGATGCTAAATAACACTGGCTCTGTCCTCTAGTCCTCACCCATAAGCTCTCAGATGGCTCATTATTCATCCCATGGCAGACCTCCATGCACCCCCGCTGCTCTTTCGCTTAAGAGCAAGTACCCCTCCTCACTATCCCACCACTCCTTCTAAAGGGCCTGCATCCATCCATGGCTGCACTCCAATCGGATGAGCTATCCCATCACATCTTTGTTATCGCAATGAAATTGTAGCTCTGCAACTTCATACAGCCCCCCCACTTTCCCATTTTCTCCCCATGCTGCATGCATTAGTGTACAGGCAAGTCAGAGATGCACCCAAGGGTGCCAATTTCCCAGAAAAGGTATAAAAGCCTCTCCCCCATAATGCTGGCCCCACTATCTGCGTACAGGTATTTCCTATTTTGTGTTTATATAAGTGTGTGGGCCCCCTTCTGCCCTGTTTAGTCGATTTCAAGGACTCATCTCCACATCACCCTGCATCCCTTGCTTACCAACCCAGTCCACCACTTTTTCCTCTTGATTTGAGAGTCATCATGTCCTTCCTCTCTCAGTCCTGGTCTAAAGCTCTCCATACCAGTTTCGCCAGCCTGTTGGCAAAGATGCTTTTGCCCCACTTAGTTAGGTGGGTGCTGTCCCTTCCTAGCAGTCCTCAAACCTCAGAGAGGGTCCCATGGTCATACAAGCCAAGTCCCTGCTGACAACACCTATTATGCAACCAGCTACAGGATCCACCACTCTTCTCCACCTTCCCCCTCCTCACCAGCAATATCTTCTTTGGTCTTACATATTGTACTAAGGAAAGTTGTTCTCTTTTCTCCCTTCAATGCTTTTTTTTTTCATTGAAATAAATCAGAAATTGCGCCAATACTGTTTTTATGAAAAATTATAGGCAGATGAAATCTTATAGGTGGTGTCCAGTATCATCCTTAATAAAACATGACTGATGGAGACTAAAATAGCATAAATTACCTTTCAGCATTTATAAACACTTTCAATACGTTACCACACATCTCATAACAAAGTATCAAGTATCATTTAGAAGTACTTGTTACTTTTTTATAACTTGAAATAACACCTTGGTGGTTTTTTTTTTTAGATATCATTACGCTTCTTCAGTACTCAAGCCTCCCTTTGCTAACTCCTCCTCCCTCCTTGAAATTTCTACTGCTCCTTTACATTGGTGCCATCAATTCTTTAAGGTACCTCAAAAAGTAAGACCTCACTTTTGCTTATGCTCCATGTCACCAAGACCAGGATCAAGATCAGGACTGAAAGCTGTATGATGTGTTATTTTAAATACTCTGCCTGTATTAGGGATTCTTTGCACCTTGGAGTCCCGTGCATAAGATTACTCAAACCAATTCCCTAGCTAAGGGGAAGCGTACTTAAAATGAAAGGAAGCGTTATTAAAACAAGCTGCCTGCATAATATATTTCATATATTTAAATTACTAAATTGCTCAGAAAGCATACACTCTTTAATTTGCTTACAAAACAAACCATGCATTTTAAAATCAAATGTTTATTCCGACCACCTCATGATAAGCCTAACCACTTCCACGCAATGTGCGAGAGAAACCACTGTCCCTTCATCTAGCCTGCCTACTAAGCCATGATCCTCACAGTTCACTATCTCAGCGTAAAGTTACATTAATATTTCTCTAGAATAAAGTTTTTATTAGGAGAACTGCCTAATCAGGTGCCAGTGTGTCTCTTCAATTACTTCTAGGGCTTCCTATTTGTAAGAGAAAGAAAATGCCTTTTCAATTCAAGATAACAGGAGGGAAAATGATGGAAATCAAGGCAGTTATTTTTTATACAAGGTAGCAGGTCCATTAGCTAAGCTAAAATACTTACAGTTCAACAGACTATTTAAAAGTGCACCTACAGAAACCCACTTCCTTACTCAAGTGAAGGCTGCAGGTTGTAACTGAACCCGTTAGGATCATTTCGTCTGAAGCCACTGAATGTCTCTCTGCCCCTTTCCAGCAGAAATTCACCGTACTCACTCCCATAAAGGTTACTGCTGTATTTCTTAAAAATAGAAATACTTACAAAAATATTTCAGCTTACAACTGAAAATAACCTAGCAAATTTTAAGCCATTAAAAAAAAAAATTTTTTAAATTAAAAAAAAAAAAAAACAATGATATCCCTAATCTCAATTTTAAATCTGACTTTGTGGTGGAAATATCCTTCTGGTATTTTTCTACAAGCAATTAAAAAAATGGATATACCCACTCACTTGATCAGGGCATTTTTCTCTTGATTCCTGAAGGTTAGTAATCAACCACGAGCAGTATGTTAACAGAGTAAAGCTGTCACATGAAATTAAAAAATTCCACTGCATTAATCTTCTTGCAATCAGCCAAGAACACATGGCACAGGAATACAGGAGGTGATATGCCCACTCAAAACAACATGCTATAGGCAA